ATATATATATATATATATATATATATATATATATATATATATATATATATACAGCCACAGCAGCAGCAGCAGCAGTAGCATCGGCAGCAGCAGTATGAATAAGAGCTGTACTCGTAAGAAGCTCTGCTGGTCCCGCTTGATGTCCACCTGCACCAGGCCGACGCTCGGCTTCAAGCAAGAGGCAGAGGCAGCCTGAGGAGCAGCAGACGACCCATGGGTTCTTGCATGGAGGCCTACATTGGCTCCTCTTGGCGCCTCAGAAGTCGCAGCAGCTGATATTGCGGCTGGTTCGGCTGCTTGTGCTTTTGCTTTTGCCGCTTTTGCTGCTGCTGCGGCGGCATCTGCCTGGGTGGAGAGGCCGATACAAAAGCTGCTGTGGAAAGGACCCCAAGGTTTGGTAGTGCTGCGAGCTGCAGCAGCGTAGGGCCTCAGGGGAGCCCCCCGCACCGGCAGCGAGACAGGACGAAGCAGCGAGGAGGCCTGCGTCGATTCAGCAGCAGCTGCAGCTGAAGCAGCAGCAGCAGTAGCAGCTGCAGCTGCAGCCGAAGCACGTCGGGGCCCCGAGAATGACACGGCTGAGTTCAGGGGCTCCACCGGTGGACCACAGGTGGGGAAACCTTGGAAGACCCAACGACGTATGAACCGCCGTCTGAACATGATGAGTGTATTAGAGGGCGTTCCGTTATGTACACTAGACAATGTTTCTGGTGTACATCAGAAAACTTGTCGGTTGTGTGCGTTGCTGCATTTAATGAGAACCATATCCGTTGGCGGAAGCGGATACAATGAAAGTTCATGCAAGGATTTCAAGAGAAGCAAGAAGCATCGTTCAAGTGGAGCAAACTGCGAGGTTTTTTGAATGCTGCATCGGCAGTGAGCTAAACGTACACAGCAGCGACGGCGCAGCCGACGGGGGGTAGCTCGTGTGGGTTGGCAATGCTTAGAGTTTTTAATTTCCTGAAGAATTTGAGTTTTGCATTCTTCAGAAAGTTTGTCAACTTTCTCAGAAGAGTATTTCAGCAATGACTGCGAACGCTCGGCCACCCTCCAGCCCCGCATGTCTGTCGAGTTCACACATTCCTTCTTCCTGTTCAGTTCGCCGATGCCACTGAAATGATATCGATATTCGGAGCTCTAACCCCTTTATTTCCGAATTTAATAGCGTTCACAGAGATCTTGGCGCAGCCGACCGGCACAGCAGCCACAGACAGCCCGTAGACTCTACAGAGCAGTTGCCGCTGTGCTCGCCTGAACATCTACTATTATCGCCCTGGCCAAGAAGCGAAGATGGCAGTGGTTTTCTGCGTTTATCTCCTTTCTTGAAAATATATGAGAAAGACGAGTGGGGTCACCCTCCTCCCGCAGGCTTCAACGCGACACAAAACGCGCTTCAGGTGACCCCTCACCAACCGGAGACAGCACTACATTTCTGCAGCCCCTGTACTTGTTTACACCTGTTCTAAACCAGCAGAGAAGCTGCCGCCAACAGCAGCATCACAACATCGGTCGTGTTTGCCTCTCTGTGTCCAGTGATGCTGGGGGACTGGGGGGCGGCCAAGACTGGCTGGAGGCTGCGTTGAGCTCTGTAGTCGCACTTCAGCTGCAGAAAACGCGAAGAACTAAAGGGACAGGCAAAGCAAGTAGACTAACAAAGCCAGAAAAACCAGACCGAAGCTGCTTCTGCCACCCCGTTGATACTTGTTCGGTGAACTGTCTGCACAGGGGGGGAGAAACCGCACATTCTTTCAGCTGCTACACACACCTGGGCACTGAGAGGATTTGCTTCGAAATCATAGGAGACCTATACGAGGGTTGCTGCTTCTGCTTCTGCTGCTACTGCTGCTGCTGCTGCTCTGCCTGCTGTCGCTGCTGCTCATCTCTGCAAGACAAACCCTGAGTGTGACAAAACGCTTTAGAGCGGTGCTCGCCTGAGGCGAGAACAGTTCCAAAGCAAAACAAAACGAAACAATAGCCAACAAACATAAAAAAAACGTATTACGACATTGCAAAGTGTTGTCAGCCAAATTGAATTGCCGGCGATGGCACGGGCCAAGAGCGCGCAAGAAAGTCGAAAAAAAAACGCTCTAAAGGGGCCCCCGATCATCTAAAGAATAATAGCGAGTCGGGGTAGAAGGGAAATCCGCAAATAAAGATGACATAGGATCAGCAGAAGCAAAATTCAACAGCACGCGAAACAAATACAGTTTGGCTGCTGAACCGAGACAATATTTGACGCGCTGACATTCAAAAAGGCAAGCAAGCTCTCTAAAGAGAATCCGCACTGACTCAACAGAGACAGAGACAATGGGCATTGTGCTACCCGCTGCTGTGTGATCGGCTTCTGTAGCTTGTAGAGACTTGACGGTTGTTTTGGACCTGGGGTGTCTGTACAGTCTGTACAGCTGCGTCTGAGACCCGCAGCCACACAGGAAGGCAGACAAGCGTCTCAAAAGGGCTCGTAGGAGTTCCCCGAGAACTGTCTGTAGTGCTGACTGCCTTGCGGGTTCGAGTACTCGTCTTGCTGGGGACCGAGGATTGCGGTGGTGTCTTCTGCCCAGGTGTCTGTTTGAAAGTCGCCTTGGGGCTCCTCCCAGAGAGTGTCGTCTGTGGGGTCGTTTCTGTCGCGGATATCTGCACCGTCTGCTTCGATGTCGCAGAACTCCAGAGGCCGAATGACCTCAGGGGGATGCGGGTTTGGGTGTGCTTCTCTTCCTGCTTTCGCCTTGAAGGAAGTAAGACGAATGCAGGAGGTACGCTCCTCACTCACACGCCAGCGCACGGGAGGGCAGAAAGGATCCTCTTTACTACTCAGCTTGCGGCCAGCCGCCTTCCCGTCCCTCTCCTCAAACGGAGTGTACGAGTGAAAACCCTCCCCGGCGAAGACGGAGCCGCCGTGCGTTTTGTACAGATGCCGCAGATGGCCAGCCTAGTTAAAACATGAACAAAACAGATACAGGAAAGCATATCGAATGTTCTCTTCGAGGGAGTCCCGGCCTTCACTTGATTTCGCTGAGATATTCACATCATCTGCTCTTAGCAACAGTGGCAGGATAGTTCCAATGGCGTATTTGACGCTGTCTTGCCCTAAACTTACAACCAACAAGATGGTGTTGAACAGCTGAGAGGCAGAAGGAGCTGCCGCCACAGGGAAGGGTTCCTTCATGACTTGGATTCCGTAGCAGACGGTAAAGACGTAGACGACAAGGGCCCCGGCAACGAGGCTGTAGCAACAGCATGGAGACAGGCGCAAGCAAACCAATACAAACCTACACCCCCTAAAATGCCTTTGTTCTCCAACGTGGGTCTTTGTGTTTTACGAGTTGCTCGAAAATAGGGCAAGGGGAACTTCTGCTTCTGCGTCACTGACCACCACAAGAAAAGCTTTAAAATGGAGAGACAGAAGCATATCAGCCACAAAGGAGCCAACAACAAGCTAAAGCGTTGTGCAGGGGCAGGGGCCTCCTCAGGCAGCGCCAAAGCCATTCGGAGCTCCTTAGTTGCTGTGTTCTGTTGCGCTGCACAAAACGTTAGTGCACCACACTGAGCAAGACATTCACCGATGAAAAGACTAGTTCTACTGTCACAAGATCGACACGTACATACATAATGTGCGTATGTGTATGTGCAGTATTTTATGTATGATCAAAGGTACAAATACAAGTACTACACAATGTTAGAACAATAGTTGAAGGTCTGTCCCGCCCCTCCCTAGTTGACTGCCATTCTGAAGCGGCTTAATTCATAATATTTGATCATCATGCGTGCAGCTAGACAATGTTTTTAAGTGTGCAGATCCACTGTCTATTTCGCCGGTTTTCGCTTTCACCCTTTTGTCAGTTCTCACCGTTCATGACGCATGGAGCCGTAGTGACAGCGCACGGTAGAGCCGAGGAGACAATGTGTTTCACGCAGCAGCCAGCGAGGCCTCCTGTTGTCCACCAGCACTTACACAGTAACTAGGCAGTACACGTTTGCCGTATTGTAGCCGAAGTGTATTACTGAAGCCTGCCCTGTAGGCGTCACGCCACCATTTCTGTCCACGTATGTCTACAGAATCCGGCGACGCCGTTTGCACATTGATGTGAAAATACAAAAGAACTGTTGTAAGGATAAAAGAACAGCTGAAGATACAACAGATAATTCCTTACCTTCTCGGTCTTCACAACCATCGCCACCACACGAGCCGCAAGAGGCGGCGCAACAAACCGCCCCGTCCTCGCTGAGAACCCCAGAGCTGCAGGATGGGTCCCGAAGACTCGCCGAGGCTGCAAGCAGCAAATGCAGGAGGAAACAGCTTAACGTTCCTTCTTAATAAACAACTGTACTGCCAGCGTTCTTCTAGTCATAAACAGCGCCTTGCATAGCGCTGCATGCACTTCAAGGCAGCCTGATAGCTCTGGGGAACAACTGCACATATTTCATCACCACCTGTTTAGTGACGTTTTGGCACTAAGGCCGATTGAGCTGCTACAGAGTATACTTTTTCCAATCATCGACGGGTTTGCTGCCTTACCCGGGGCAACGCATTTCTTCTTCAGGAAAATCTGAACATCCTGCAACGGGGACCACAAAACGAAGCATCCACAGACTTTTGCATTCAGCAGTGTAGAATGCGCAAGACGTCGACCTTGAGGTGATTATGAATAGCTTCGTAAGCAAAAACATTTCGCCGTACAAGACAGAGAGGGAACAACGTAACTAGCGAGTATGCACTAGCCGCTGAGCTGCAGGGTTGACGCTTTCGTTCCACGAACACTCCATACAAACTTCGAAGCAGCTCAAAGCAAGTAGAGAGCTAGCAGGGAGAAGCGGGAATGTGTTCGTGAATCAAATGGAAAAAGCAACGTCGGTATTGGGATAAGGGTTAAGGGTTTTAGGGTGTAGGGTTTTGCTTGCTGTCAGCGCGATAGCTCACTCTGTAGCCATGGAAGGAGAAGTCCATACCAACAATCGACTCCCCTGTGGCAGGTCACCAGCAAAGAAGCATAAGGCCTAAAATGACTGATATGGATAGCATCTTAGGCATCTGAGATGGCATCTTAGGCATTTGGTGCAGCACGTTCAGGAGCACAGAGGGAAGCGAGCGGCGCTATACTGTCTAAAAAAGCCTCTTCACTGCAGCTGAAATGTTGAATTGTTTTGGATCAGAGGAGGCAAGGACTACTTGAGGATGTTAGCTGTTATCCTCCGTGCAAAGTAAGACATACCCTCCGACTTGCACTGAAACTGAAGAATGAATCTGCGCACGTTTTCCTCTAAACCGGGGAGCACATCCCTCAGAACAACGTGAGAAGATGGCTTCGACGCGACGAGACTAACCGACTGCTCCGTCTCTGTTTCTTCTCTTTTGCTACTTCCGACGTAGTTGTACAATAGAGGATACATCACTTGCAGATCGGCGGCTGACAAACAAACAAGCACACAACAAATATTCCAGCATTCAACATTGTTTGGCAATACATATAATGAATGCTAGCGGTGCAGTCCGTCTATAGCGGAATTTTTTACTTATATATGTTTTACAACACCTTCAGTTGCATCATTAAGGAATGATGGGCTCCGTCAACATGAGAATGTGCAGCATGCAGGTTTTAGTTGTTTTGAACTCGCCTGTTGTTGGAATTTGCATCTCTAGTTTTCCATCCTTACATCCGCGACACCATGCGTACATCTCGACAAATTCTTGCTGCGGCCAAAGCAGAAGGCAGCTCGCGGTAAAACCCTCAGGAAGCGAGGTGTTGCTGTGCGCACTGATTCGATTTCGGCACCGCATGCATGTAATAAGCACGTTTCATCTCTGAACACCAAGCGAACCGTGAGGGGAGTGTTGAACGACTGATTGTAGATGTCAGTTAATATAGTAGTTGGTCCTACCGACGGGTCAAACACCAGAGTGGTTGGCTGTACAGCTGCGACTCGATCCGTTGCAACCCCATTGGCCACCAGGTCGCCTTCCTTCGCTGTCACCGTCCGCAGCTCTGCTACAGTTGGAGAAGGAGCGAGGCTCGGGTCCCACGGCAGGTCAGCGGCGCTACGCGTCCAAGAAGCGGCCCCGCTCTTGCTGGGCTGCGGCGTCAGCGGGCCGACCGATATGTGGAAGCCTGAGGGCGCCTCTGAGTTCAGGTGAAGGCAAACAAATGCCTACACACACTATACTGCCTCGTTCTTCTTTCCCATACTCCAGCATGCACAGAACGGCCAACAGGGCACGGGCCATAAGAACAAAACCCGACTTCTCGTCAGTGCAGCAGGTCGCGCAGTTTCTGATGTTTCATTTTCATACAGAGCAAAATAAAAAGAGGGTAGCCCTAGAATGCCTTGTTTTTCACTGCACCAGCTATAAACAAACGCATGCACGAGGGAAACGTGCAACTTGCCCTGCAGGAGCGCGCCAGCGGAGCAGACGACCTTCCACATGAGAACGACAGGTTCGCATCCCCCCAGGCGGAGTTCAGCGCGTACAGAGATGGGGTCTCTGCTGTCGCCTTCAACAGCAAAGCAGCTCTTGTAGACAACGTGAAGCTCGGCCACCGGACGGTGGGTCTCGTCCTGGTGCTGGTGGTCTGCTTGCTTCCCCTCCTCGCCGCTGACTTTGTAAGACAGGACGAGCCCTGCGCGACATCTCACCGCAGCAGTCTGAAGCCTAGACTTGGCACCCTCAAATCTAAAGCCTACACCCCCCGACACCTGCCTGTGGCCGACTGAACTTGACTAGAGCGACTACGAGCAGCCTCTGACCTCGTTGCGCATGCAGCCCTACTACCTACCGTCTCCGTAGGCTAGGTTCACGTCGATGATTGGCATCAACATCATGGAAGCCATAGCGTCGTAGGCGCTCTTGACGGGGGCTACCAGACGAATCAGGGTCACTGTTCCCTCATCCATGCGGAATACGGGGTTCTCTGCACACAACGCCCGGGCATCCTAGTCTTCAGTTGAGAAGGCAGGAAGAAAGGAGGCGTCTCCGGGACTCAGATGCAAACAGTGAACGCACAAAGGGCCTCAGCAGAATCGAAGAGGTACAGACGTGTCTGACCTTCTGTGAACTCGGACCAAAGAGGCGTCACTTTGCCTCCCTCCACCGCGAGACGAGGGTTCTCCTCGCCATCTGCTGGGTCCTCTGCGGGTCGTCCGTGAATGTGGTGCAAGTACGGCATGCCGTCTGTCTGTGCATTCTCTTTTTGCACGAAATTGCTGAACCTGGAAGCTACAGAAGACGGCAGAGGAGAGACGAGGAAGGCGTCGAAGTGCTGACAGTCATCTACCCTCAGGTCTTCGCTCTGCGGCCCGTAAAAAGCAAACCGAGGAGGCGCAGCTAACGTTTCAACGCTGCTACCAGCTATAGAAAACGCGCCAACATCTTCTGCCCCACCAGAAACTCCAATGGAGCCTTCCGGTCCGGAGAAAATTGGCGCATAGGGCCGCAAAGGCAACAGAAAGGGAACGATCGCATCCAGTCCTCGGGCGTCCCCAGGAGCTGGGCTTGCATTTGCTCCTCCAGGGGTCCCTTGCATACTTGCAATTTCTATCAGAGATGGTGGAGTCTCAGTGAAGTCGCCGTTGCTTTGCTGTTCTGCATCTGGCACCACAGCGCTATTCACCGTAGGGGATGCCTCGAAGCCCGCCGTTGCCTCATAGGACGTAGAGGGCTCCTGTGGCAGTTCCGGCGAAGCCTGCATTTCTTCCTCGAATATTATGGGGACCTCTGAAGGTTGGCTGTTATACTCAAACTCCATCGACTGCCCGTCTACTAACCGTGAGGGGTCCCACAGAGTAAGGAAAAGAGTTGCTGTGAGCATCTGCGCAGCCCACGTACGCTGATGAACCCAATTTCCCGCACCTACGAGAGCCCCTGGGGCCAAAAAGCGGCATTTTGGGGGATGACAGGAGTGCTGAGGAGGGGTTGGCTCTTCGAAGGTGTCGTTTGTTTGGTCTGGTGAAGCGGCTTGTCCTGCGCAGTCATCTTGCTGGCCTCTGTTCATCGTGCTCGAAGAAACCTAAGGGAGAAAACAGTTTCAATTAAAACAAGAAAATATCAGGGGAATTATTTCAGTTTTGAAAGGTATGCAGACTTTCGTCGCGAAACGGGTCAAGTGACCCCCAGACCGCCGGCGAAACTGTCACGGCCGGTGGACCCAACAGAAACCCCTAGCTAATTTACACCTCCTTCCCTTTTCTTCGCACAGCACCACAGCCAAATAGAAACGAAGACAGAGTAAATGCGTATGTTATCAGTATGCGGAAACACAGGGCTGCACACGGTCTTCTGGGGCCGCACGTGGTCGGGTGGTCAGCCCACCGGAAGTGCCGGGGCGTGCAGGAGTCTCAGCTATGAAACGAGTTCTTTTGATGTATTATTCAATTAGAAGATTAATGGAGTAACTCATTTTACGTGTCAAAACTGAAGCGTAAGCTGCAGGAGTGTGTGAGTAGGTCTTTATCTACAGCGGGCATGCCTGTCTGGCAGAAACCTGTAGCATGTTGGAGGCTTCAAAAAACTCATCCTTCCGCCACAACCCGAAGCAGCTCGAAGGTCTAGTTTATTTCTGGCATGTGCATTTTCGCCTGAGTATCGTCAGAAAAGACAGGCGACTCTCGCTTCACCCGTATCCAACCGTTTTATTGCACGAAGAGTTGCACACTTATCGTCGTTGGCGACAACTGCAGGGTCTAAGTAAACCCTGCCACAATCAACAGATCCCCCTCATTTTGGAGTTTTAAACTTATTTTGTGGATGCGACTCTTAACGCCAACGCAAGAGCCTGCGACCTGGGCATCCCGTGCTGCTGAACTCGTCCACATCCTGTTTGGAATGTGACACAGTTGAACGGTGTACCTCAGAAGAGGTTTAAAACGAGTGAAGCGTTGGCAACCTGTACTCTAGAGGGCTACTGGGTGACCTCTGTCGCCTCCAACATAGGCGATGGACACCACACACGTACACTGCGTCCAGAAGCGAGCATTGTTTGCTTGTAGCCGTTTACTTGAAGCGTTCGTTAGTTCCTTAAAGCTGTGCGACTCATTGCTAAGACGCAAACAGCAGCATCTGCTGCTGAAGCAAAATATTAAAACTGCCTCTGCTTGGAGTGAGCCACACTGTCGTGGTGTATCAGCACGCGAGCAGAAATACATCTTATTTCTCTGCCCGATCCAAGACTACGGACGAACTAAATCCTCCCTCAACTCTGCTCGTATCACGAGGGGATGAAGGCAGGCCTGATGCAGGCCCGTGTGGTGCGGGGGGATGCCGCGGACTGCCCTCCATAGGTGTGGGCGATGTTGTCGGTTTCGGTGGGGTTCCAAGGGAAGCCAGCGTGGCGCTTCGAGAGGCCCAGAGGTTTGCAAACGTTGGCAGAGGCTGTGGGAGTCATCCAATCCTGCATTCACAGAAAAGCCACATCACTGGTTGCCCTCATTCAAAATGCGTCCGTCTTCTCCAGCAATGTGCTAGTTTAGCTGCCCCCCTCCCGTAAGCATACACAGACAGACTGTCTCTGTACGCAATAAAAAAGCCTCTGTCGTATACTGTTTGCGTCTGCAACGGCACAAACTTACTTCTTTGCACTCGAGCGTCGGCTGGTGGTGTCGCCTGGCGATGCTTCTCACAGAGAACTTCAACTCCGTGTTCGGTTTAGGCATTAGACCCTGTCAACCACAAAGGCAAATTTCAGATGTTGCCATCATGCAACTACTAGCTACTAATATCAGTTTCCTTACTTCTCCGTATTTGGCAGACTGCTACTCGAAAAAGGAAGGGCATGGGACTAGCAGTCCCGTTGCCTAATGCACCGTGACCACCAAAGCCTAAGGCGTTCGTGTTTCCTTGACTCATTTGCAAAAGGCCTGAGCGCTGATCCTGCTGCTACTGCTAGAACGAAAGGAGTAGGGTCTCATACTGCCAGCTTTGGGTTTAATTCTGCACCGCGTGTATAAACAGAGCCCAATTGTTGCACGTGTAATGAAGTGAATGGTACTAAACGCCATTAGTTATGCATATGATATATAAAAATATGTACATTATATATTATATATATTAGTTTCTACGATTTTCAGGTAGCCCACCAGTAAGTTATGGTCTATGTTGTCCTTGGCCTTCTGCACGGAGAATGTTCGTTCTCTGGGGAGCATGTAGGAGTCAAAGCTGGCGAGGTTGATTTCTGTTGCTGCATTTCCCGGTCTTCTGGCAGTCATGATTTCAGTGCGGCCGGTTAAAGGATCCGTGACTTGAAACTTGGTGCAGAAAGCTCGGGGAAGCTGATCGGTGGAGACATACTGTCTCAGCGGTCGCGTTCCTCCTCTCTGATGCATTTGGGTTCCGGGAGATTTGCTGCCTGCAGAGGAGAAGAGTGAAGTCATTTGGTCGGATTTGTTCGCTGCTGCGGACTGTTTTTTGCTGCCATTACTGAAGAGGGCGTTGTTGAGCTGCGCGGTGGATATGCCGGCGTATCCCGGGGGAGTCATCTTCAACATGTCCTTCGCCTCTCTTGGCGTGTTCTTTCTGCTGCTGCTGCAAGGGTTACAGGGATGCAGTATTGCTCTAACTTCATCTTTGAAAGGAGAATACGTTAACCCCAACGCGCTGTTGCGACGTGGCCTCTGCAGCAGCTGAGGCGACGCCATCTGCGAGAGGCGCTCGCTGGGTACTCCCGCCACAGCAGGCTCTCTGTCTGCCATATTTTCACGACTGAATCAGGCTTAAATCGCTCCTGGGATGTACGTACACCCAAAATTTGAGGGAATTCGGGGGGACTAAGATGCGTTGAACAGAAGGCAATGCTACGGAAAACAGATACTGCGGGCAACAGCCAGAGCCCTTGCTGCGTGTTGCCTTAAACCCAAGGGAAATGCTTGCCGGGTAGTTCGTAGTACTGCTGCAGAACACAACACACATCGCCCCCCAAAACCGCAGACTCCCTATAGAACCCAGGCAGCTGAATGCACGAACCGAAGACAGACCAACAGATACAGAGGAGTGCACACAGCAACGCAAGAAGTCCCCAGATGCGCCACCAAGAGAACGAAAGTTGGTTCAGGCAAGCACAGATGGGCCAGTTCATTTGCCTTCAACGACAGACAGCGGTTGGAGGGAACTCTGTTTGCATATTGCTGCAGAAGGCGCTGGAACAGAGGTCTCTCCAGCACACCAGACAACACGGTTTTGATCTGAGCTACAACTGCTCATCAAGTGAGAATGAGGACAACTGTCTCAAAAGGGTGCTGCACACGAAGTGCTTGTCTAAGCCGCCAATGCGAACTGGCGTCGATACTGCGCCGCCCGGGCGCAGTATCGACGCCAGTTGGCGGCAGCAGGAGGCTGCGTGCTCTCAACCGAATAACCCTCTCCCGTGTTTCCAAATGACACCATATTGAGGACACTTTATTGACAAGCAAGCTCACAAAAGATAGTTGAAACACAAATTGATGCGTTTTTAATGCTGTGTGGCAGGCTCACGTGAAGTTGCGTGGCAGTCGGCGAAGGCAACCGGTGAAGCTACAAGAAGGTGAACGCGGAATACTTCTTCTGCTAAGTAGAACGAAGATTTAGCAAAGAGTTTTAGGGTTTTTTGAAGAAAGAATGACACAGGCGAAACGCCCCAGCTACCACAGCCAGCCAGGCGAGCTGATTGTCGCTGCCGCCGCCGAGTTAACAGTGTAGCCGTCGGTCGCAGCACACCCCAACCCTCTTTGCCATTTCTCCCAACGTTTCAACTCATCTTTATTCAACTTGCCAATTATATTCTTGGGAATTTAATGCGTATACACCCCAAAAAGATAGTTAAATGGGTGTCGACGCGCAGCTCGCTTCGTACTACCCAGGCACACATTGCGCAATCGGCGTGCAAAGGAGTGTAAATCTGCAGAAATAACAAAAGACTAAGCGGATAAAGCAAAAAAGTTAGAAATACCTTCTAAGAAGAGGTCACATTAACTAATCATGACGTCCAGTTGCCTTAGACCGTCACTGCGACATGGATGAGGCTAACTCAGAACCAGCGGCCACTTCCTAGTGAAGGGGAATGGTCAAGCTGGAATAAAGGTATAGAACACACAACTCCGAATTTACTCAAATTTGAATGCTTCACTAAGTAGGAAAAAAGCTAACTTGAACCTTAAACGACGCGTTTAACATAAATTAGCCCAAGTACAAGCCCCAAGAGCTTCAAGTTAAGAAACAACGCCAACTGCAACTCTACGTTGTAATGCCCTGGGGTTCAACAGGGCAAGAAAGGAAGAGGAAATTCCTCTTCTAGAAAGGATGAACCAAATTTCCTTGAATTAAAAAATTTAAACTTCTAGTTCAATACGACTACGATCGCGAGAGTACGCTTAGGAACAAGAACCAATACTCCATTCACGTTGTCGTGCACACACACACCTGGCACAGTGGATAGCCTAGGAAAGGTGGTAGGGGTACGGAACGTACGAAATGAAGAAGATAGATGCGCAAAACATATTCACACGGATAAGTCAAGCTCCTGAAAATACATGAATAGCGTGTTGACCTGGAGTGGGGCTGAGCTCGGCGATGTCCCCTGGCGCCGCAGTCAGTCGGCTGCGGCTTCGCCCAGGCAGGCCACCAGGTTGCATACGACTGTGTGAGTACTGTGTGAAGAATCCTAACGGCAAGTGCATACGTGAGCTAAGCATTTTCCCAAGTGGGAGTTGTGAATTATCAACTAAGACGAGAAAAGAAGGGACTGGCTAATATAATAGAACTTTCCTGCTGTAGTGCGACCGCACTACATAAGTGCTACAAGTAGCGGAAACAAAGCCAACGAGAGTGCAAGGAGTAATTGAAAGAAAGCCAACTACCAGTCCAGCTACGAACAGACACAAACATGCAAGTCTACCGTGCCGCTGCGTAGGGGACGGAACGTGGGTTTACATGAGCAACATGGTCGACGTTCTCCACCTGTAGTGTGCTTCGTTTCGTTGTGGGTTCATTCTTTACACTGCTCCTATAAATATGCACCAGCCAAATGCACTTAAGGAGATCTACTGGGTGTTGTCGGGTTTGTTTCCTGCTATAATTGCACTACAGACCGATAGTTGGGTTTACGTCCCTCGACCTGCCTTGTCTCTGTAAGAAGGTGAAGGGGGGGTTTTCTAAATAACCCAACAGTTATAAAAACACACACACACACATATATATATATATATATATATATATATATATATATATATATATATATATATATATATATATATACACATGGTAATGTGAAATGAACAACGCCTTGCAAAGCCAGCTGGGAGCTGCCTTCATGTTGGACGCGGAGGTTCTGTGCTTGATGTATTGACGTATTAGATGAGAAGGTGGCGATTGGTGGGTCTCATGGATCCTGCTGCACAGGAGTACCCTCCTGGATTTGCTCGGCCACTGCTACGTGGTGCTTCTCAACCACAAAAGCAGCAATGAGTTGCTTCCCCACGCGCACCACCGGCCGCGCAAGGCCCCAGCAAAAAAAAGAGGAGCCGCACCGAGGAACAAGTGCCAGACACATGCACCGGAGATACAGTGCAAGCACTGGACCTTCGTTTACGTCGGCAGGCATCGGCGTGCCTTTGCTTACCCTGAATATAATCTCTGTTCCGTTGACTGTGGGCAGAGGCTTCCCTATAGCGCCGCTCGTTCTGTTGTACATGCTGTTCCGTTCGCAGTGATATACACTTGACATGAAAAAACTGTTTCTGGTCGCCACTGAAGGGGCCCCAAAGGCTCGTATGCTGCCCCAAGGACGAGCGGTTGATAAGAAAAGCCCTAAAAAAGCATGTCTGCTGCTATGCAGGAGCCTACTAGGCGTAAGCCATAGCAGATAGGGCACCTCCAGTACAGCTTCGCAGCAGCCATGCCAACAACAACCAACACGACCCCGTTTGCAAGAACGGTGCAGGTAACTAAGAGGAATTTTGATTCAAAGATACAGAGAAGCCCAGGTACAGACGGGCTACCGCTCATGAGGTCGGTTTCAGGCCACTTAGGTGAAGGCAGCGAACAAGCAGAGAGTTTTCCTACAGTTCAGACGGTGTCCTTATCTCTCTGCCTTCTACCACGAGCTTTCCCTGTTCCTTTCTGCCTGCGCTTAGGGCGAGTTCAGCGACTGTTTTGCTTCCCTCCGCAGCTGACAGCGGTGGAGCCTTCCAGCCTGCCATGTCTGTCTTACACCATCCTGTGCATTAGAGTGCATAGCAGCAGACACGCTTTTGCAAGGGGTCAACTAGCTCACCATTCACAGCTCCCCCCAGGGGCAGTCTGAAGGCTTTTGGGGCCCCTCCAGCCGACCCCAGAGACACATGTAATTTCTGTTTCTTTTTGAATACGTGCTTCACTCACCCGGATATACTGCAGTGACAATGATTCCCTCTGCATTGGGGTTTAGAGTTTGTCTGTCGGCCTTGCGAGCCAATGCAGCCGTCAAACCAATGACAGCAGCCTGAGGCGCAGGGCCAGCATAACTGTTGCAGAAGAGGCGTACTGCCTTTGAACGGAAATAAACTATACTCGCGTTTGCAGCATGTAAAAATACAATGCATGAGAGGGAGCGTACTCGAAGTAAAGTCTCCGGAACCTCTCAGAGAACTTGTGGGTGAGGGCTCCGCGGTGAGGTCCTCACCTTTGAAAACAAATACGGCAGCCTTGGCCATCCCTTTTGTATCCACTCCTTAGGGGCAACTTGTAGGTATTCATGAACAGCAGCATCGATGTCCTACCACCACCAGAACAATTCAAAGCAGCTGCACTCCCCACGCATCAATGGCAAGCACGCAACATACGTGCTGCAGGCTGCTTGTTGTCTGCACTTCCATAACAGTTAACATCAGATGATCCAGCAGGACACTCACTTCAACTGTAGCGGTAGATGCCAGCAAACGATCCCGGTTACTCTTGCTCATGAATGGGGGCCCCGCTTTCTCGAGGTTCGATGACAGAAATACCACTTTTGTATTATTTCTGAACAGGGGTGCGAGGGCCATCGTGATCTGTGGAGAACACCAGAGCCGAAATTTTAATTGGCGCCTATAAAATTATATTTAAAAATTAAATTGAATAAAAAATTAAATGGTCACGTTGTGAAAGAACTGAGCTTTCATCTCAGATCTTGGAGCATAAGCTGCGTTCTGCGGCGTTGTGTGCAGAGCCGTCTATCCGAAATATAGTTCAATGGATGTTATACTTTTGTGTAAAGATAAAATGCAGCTAAGCTCGTATTTTTTATTCAAAGGAATCCTACATCTCGAGTTCCGTAGTAGTTCACAGCACAGATGGCTCTGGCCTGTTCACTGAGCGGCAGCTTGGCCCCAGGAGGAAAATTAATACCTGACAGGATAAAGAAGAGGAGTTTAATATTCCTCAAGTGCAAATATCATTTCGTTGGCGCCTGAACACATGGAAAGAGAAGCCAACCTCTCATTACGCTTGAAATCCGGGCGCTGCAGCTGACCCGCGTTGTTGATGAGACAGTCAACATGCTTGTATTTGTTTTGAATCGAGGTAACAAACTTCCTTCGGCTCCCTTCGTTTGTGATATCAAGCACCTCCACGTCTGCTTTTATTCCCTCTTTAGCCAGAGATGAAGCTGCTGTCTGACGCAGTAAACAGGCAAACACGCACGAGAACGGGACACCACATCGTGTGTGCATACGAAGCCCGCAAAAGAGAAGCACGGAGAAGGTTATATTTGTTCTTGGTTTGTGTTGTTTTCCTCCATTTCGCCTGTTCAGGCGCATTGTTCCTGCTGACAATGCAGTAGTGCGAATTTTATAATACTTTTTTATAATAAAGTTCATGCGGCTGGGGTGTGTTGCTACTGCGGGCAACACAAGCCTTACCTCCCCGGCAGCTGAAGTTCGAGAGCAAAGGACAATTGCTGCATCCTTTGGGTTTAGTCTTTTCCCCAATTCTCTCACTGTTTCGAATCCAATACCTCTGTTGGCCCCGGTGACCACGAAGGCGCGGCCGGCCATACTGGTGAGGCGGCAATCACCAGCGAGTGGTTTGACGACCAAAAACTGTTTAAAAAAGGTAATTAATATATTCAAATCAATACTCTTTTGTTGTTCTCCAAGCTGTACAATAAAATATCAAACACCCCAAGACCTCATGCGGCCTTTTGTTGTATACTGGCAGCACCCGATGCCGCCTCGCCGGCGAAAGCTGCAGAGCGGCAGTTTTTCTTACACTAGCTCCATGAAACCTGAAATATAATCATTTAAATTAATAAATAAATTTAAAAGTGGTTTCAATTACCTAAAAGGAAACAAGAATTCATGTATCCTGTTGAATGGTCCGTGCACGAGTGACCACCACAGGAGCTGCTCCTCTCTCTCTGGTAACCTCCGAGCAGCCAGTTGTAAAACTGAGTAATAAAAAAATCAATATTAAATTATAATATTTCATATTGCATTATCAATAAAAATGTTTACATTGATGAGCAAACTCGGCCACACCATCGTCGCAACGAAGATGTTTCACACGACACAGAAACTAAAGCTGCAAGGTTTCGCCAGGTTTCGGTTGAGAAGAGCTAAAGAGTAGATATACAGCAACACTACAACAGAGCCATATGTGTAGTACCTGTAGCCTGACTATGTTCTGTGCAGACACACATGCGGTATTTCATATATTATATACATATATATATTATATATATGTATATAATATATGAAATACCGCATGTGTGTCTATATGATATATATATATATATATATATATATATATATATACATATATCATATATTATATACATATATATAGCCATACTTCACTGGGCTCCAGCACTGAGTTGCTCTCTTAGCTACCACCACCACACGCCAGCTATGGCTGCCTGAAAAGAACTTCAGTAAGCGGGTAAACCACCATAACAGGCGGCAGCTCCGTTCCGCGCTGCAGCGTAGGACGCAGCGAGGTCTTCTCCACTTGCAAAAGGTTATGTATTAAAAATACAGAAATACAATGCGACAAAATATCCGTGATCGTTTGGCTTAGAGAGGCCAAAACACGGGGTCAAAGCAGCGCAGCACAGCCGCAGCTGCAACGCGAAAGCCTCGGCAGCAGGAGAGGCTGGAACTTGGGTAACACCTCCGCTGCTGCATTGGGCAGATATATGGCCTGCACACTAAGTATATGTTTCGCCATAGAGAACCCAGGAGGCCGCCCGTTGCAGCATGCAGCTCTCTTGGAGCTCTCAGCGTGTTTATATGTCTGCGTTAGGAGCGCACGCTCACTGCCGTCTGCTCCTGTGGTGCTGGGGGGCCCCCCCGCAGGGTCACCGCAGCTAGGGGTGCGGGCTGCTGCAGAGGGCCCCCAAAGTACAGAAGCAGTGATAACACCTTCCTCAACAAGTGCATGCAAAAGGAACTGCACCTCGCAGTCATCTAGCAGACACAGCATCCCCTGCAGCTGCTGCGCCGTGCTGCCGGGCCTCTGCGTCAGCAGCATCCACAGCCGCAGACACAGCAGCTGCACGAGTGACCCGTGCAGCCGCCCATCCAGGCGCACCCATGCACAAGCTGGCAGCCACTCCTTCGCCAGTCTCATCGGCCTCAACGAGCTCCTGGGGGCCGCAGCTGCCTGGATGTGCGGGGCCCTCTCCTCCCCCTGGGCCCCTGGGGCCCCCTGGGCCCCTGGGGCCCCCTGGGCCCCTGGGGCCCCCAAGGAAGAGGCTAGGCCTGAGGGGTATTCCTCCCAAGTCAACAGAGCACTGAAAAAGGAGCAGACGGCCTCCGCCTGCGCTTCGCATGCACTTGTCTCCTCCTCTGAACTTTGTGCAGCAGACGGCGCGGTCATCGTGGGGCTTGAAACGCATGCAGCCCCATTTGCTCGAGCAGACGCACCAACCACAGCCACCTGCATCTCCCCTTCCAGCAGATCCCCCCTCTGCTGTTGCTGCTGCTGCTGCTGCTGCTGTTGCTGCTGCTGCTGCTGGTGACCGCGAACCGCTGCAGGGCCCCACGCAGCCCAGACGGCTCGCGGCACCATTGCTGGGCGTTGGTGTTTCTGCTGCATGTGTTTGCCTTCGCTTGCGGGTTCTCCTTCTCTTTTCCTTCTCTCTCCTGCTGTGCCTGCTGCAGCATCTGCTGCAGCTGCTGCAGTTGCTGCAGCTGCTGCAGTTGCTGCAGCTGCTGCATCTGTGCGTGTACGTCTGTGTTCTACAGGCAGGGGTGTTGAGGGGCAGCTGTGTGAGGTCCAGCGCGCAGCGACTGGGTCGCGGAGGACCTGCTGCTGCTTGAGGCAGAAGCGGGGGGCAGCCTCTGCAGCAGCAACAAGTCTCCAGCTGTCTCCTGCGGGGACAGCCACCGCCAGCCGCAGCGAGCACAGCAGCGCAACACACACCAGAAACAGCTGGCTGCTGCATGCAGCCACCCAACAGTCTACACAGCAGCTCCCCAGGTCCTCTCCCGCCGTCATAGGCGTACCCATAGGGGCCCCCCTCAGCTCTGCCTCGAGCTCAGGAGACAGCCCCGGGGCCCCCCGCCTGCCCCCTAGCGCCATCTTGCATGCAGCAAGCCGGAAAGAGAGACAGGCAGCAGCACGCAGGTCGCCCCCCGAGGTGTCTCCGCTGCTCCTGTCTCCAAGCCCCACAGGGGTACACCTTCTCTGCGTTTCGTGTCCTTCTGCTGCGGGTGTCAGTGCTGCTGCTGCTGGCTCTGCTGCTGCTGCTGCTGCTGCTGCTGTTGTCTCCGTCTCTCCTGCGAGGTCCAACAGCAACGCAGGCACCGAGACACCCTCCGCCTTCGCCTTCAGCAGCCGACTCAACAGCCAAGCGGGACACAGCGCGAGGGCGGTGCAGACAGAACAGTCTCCACCCTCAGGCCCTGCTGCAGCTGCTGCAGCAGCGTTCCCTTCAGCAGCAGCAGCAGCAGCAGCAGCAGCGGCAGCGGGGGGACTGGACGCGAGCTCTTGCTGCGTCACCTCCTCCAGTCGCCGGGCGGCCTCAGGCTGCGGCGGCGTCGGCAGCAGCGGGAGGACCGCCTGCTGCTGAACAGTAAGAGCAGCACGCGCTGTTTGCTGCAGAGCCTGAAGCAGAGGCAGAGGTAGCTGGCTGCTGCTGCTGCTGCTGCTGTTGCTGCTGCTGTTGTTCCTATTGCTGCTGCTGCAGTGCCCTGCAGCAGCAGAAATATCTAGAGAAGCATGGGCCCCGCCTTGTATATGCTGCGTGAGGATGTACAGGGGCCCCTCTCCTTGGGGCCCCTCTTGGGGCCCCTGGCCGAGGGGCCTGCATGCGAGTGTGGGGTTGGGGGGTACGGGTGAGCAGAGCGGAGCGGCCTCAGACAAGGCCAGTGAGTGTGTAGGGTATGTATAGCTGCTGCTGCTGCTGCTGCTGCTGCTGCTGCTGCAGTCTGCTGCTGCTGTGTTGGGTTCGTGGGTGCAGAGACAGCCGGGGGGCCCGAAGGCCTCCACTGCCCGCGCCGCGAGCCGCCAGTTGTGGCGGTGGTCGTCGGCGTATGTGGGGAGAGACAGGGGAAAGCCGCTGGGTAGCCCGGGTGTGCAGCAGCAGCGCGTGTTGTCTCCTTTTGTCTTGCACTCTGTCTCCTCCTCTTCTCCTTCTTCTTCTCTCTCTGTCTCTGTTTCTGTCTCCGTCTGTCTCTGTCTCTGTCTCTGTCTCTCCACGCGGAAAGATGTTGCTGCGCTCGCGCTGCGGTCGCTCAGCACCGAAGGCAGCAGCGACGGGTCGAAGGCGTCCAGCTCCCCCGCAGCCCCGAAGAGGCCATCGGCGAGGTGGCTGGCGGGGGGTACCACCACCTCCTCTGTCTTTGCTGCTGCTGCTGCTGCTGCTGCTGCTGCAGCAGCAGCAGCAGCTGCTGCTGCTGCTGCTGCTGCGCTGCTGCTGTCGTCTCCTGTAGGGGCAGGCAAAGCTGCTGCAGCACCGGCAGGTGCGCGGGCCCCTGGCTCGGA